ACTTTAAGTTTGTTAATACTTTCTTGAGGTAACACATCTAAAAAATTTATATGTTATATAAATAAACATTTATTTATATAACATATATATTTTTTAAATATGCATTTATTTAAAAATTCACTTTAAGTTCTAATGGACTATGGAAGTAATAAATAAGTACTCTTCATTCTTTAGTTTTTGTTCTTTATTTTTATTATGAATAAATTATTTATAATTACTTTGTTATAAAGTCTTATTAAATCCAGCCTTGCCACTATATGTCCATTTTGTTATTTCTTAAACATTGTGATTAGCACCAGATTCTATTTACCAAACAGTCTTTCAAAAATGTGCATCAGAAGGCCTTTTAGTGGTATGCATATTGAATAGGCATCTAAATGAATTTTCTCTGGATAGCATTTAGCTTTTGAAGATCATAACTTTATATAAAGGATACATATGGCTATCTTGTTTAAGCTGATATGTTAATATACAACCATCAATAATTAATGCTAGATCCTTATCAAGTGAATACTTCTTAAAAGCTTCAACTGGTTTTTTTATTTAAAATTTCAGTAATTTTTGTTAGTCACTTATTATAACTTCTCTTTCAGTTTCAACTTTGTTGCTTGAATTCTAGAAAAATAAAACTACTGATGCCATTGTTGAACTTTTTGTTCTCTCACAAGCTTTTTCAAAAGAGCAACATTAACTAATGATGTAAGATTTAATGTACTTTATTTCAATTGAAAACCTTTAACTAACAAATTTTAATTCTTTTCTTTTAAAGAGTAATAAAATTGTTTGCAACAATCCAATTTTTACGATACACTTTAATAAACTTTTTGCACTTAGAACATTGTAACTAAAATCTCTAGAACCTGCATTTAATATTGATGAAAAGAATGATATTTCAAAAACTGGTTTCTCTTCTCATGTAATTTGAGCAGTCTTCACATTATTACTAAAATTTTATGCAAACAGTTTAATTTGTGTTAAATTAAAATATATGAAAAAAAAAAAAAAAAAAAACAATATGTATTTTTGTTTGAGTGAATAAAAAATATGATGTTTTTTCAAGTAAGGGGAATTTGGAGAATTCAGGAGCAAAGTAACTCTAATAGATTGTAGACATATTGCATTTACTAGTTTAAGCACTGAATATAAGTTCTTGTAGACTACCTTTATTATTTCACACTTTTTGAACAATATAAAAGTTTATTAAATTTTTAATCTGTAACTTACCTCATTATTTTAAAGCCAGTTTATAAATACATTTTTATAACAATACAATTTTTTTTTTATACAAAATTTTAAATTATTTTATAATAAGTGGATCAAATTTTGTGATTTAAAAAAAAAACAATTATAATCAAAACAATTTTTAAAAATAACACAATAGAGTAATACGAATATGTTTATTATATAGTTTTGAATATAATAAACTGTTGCCGTTTTTGTTGTTGTTGTTGTTGTTGTTGTCGTCCACCACCTGATTCACTGTGCATTCCAATGATCAAATTTAATTGATTTAGTTTTAAACATTAAGTTTGTGAAAAAGTTAAATATGCTATTTGCTTTTTGAGATGTAAACAGTTCAATGATATCCAAATAAACTTTAAATCATTTTAGTAAACTTTTTTTAATTGTGACTAAATTACAACAAATTACATTTTGTATGAAACTCCTCACTTTCGCAAATAGTTGGTCAATAACAAAGGCTACTTTGGGTTGTTTTTGAGACTATGTGAAGCTGTCATTTTGTTAAACCAACAATATCTTCGGCTATAAACAATTATTGACATTAGCACTTGAAAATAAAAATTATCGAATCCCTGATTTAAGGGTTCCATAACGCTCCGATTCCTATCGTTTATTTTTCTTTCTAGATAATCTCAATGGAGGAGGGAGTTAAAATTAGACGATCTTTTATTTCAACCAAACTTACCATGTAAACATAACAATTTCTATACACATGTACATTGTATATATGTATGTATGTGTGTGTGTATATATATATATATATATATATATATATATATATATATATATATATATATATATATATATATATATACTTACATACATACATATATATATATATATATATATATATATATATATATATATATATATATATATATATATATATATATATATATATATACATATATATATATATATATATATATACATATATATATACATATATATATATATATATATATATATATATAACTATATATTATGTATGACATGTAGTTACAATCCATTTGTATTAACTTAACTTTATTTTATATATTTAATAACGCTTTTTATTTTCATTTTATCTGTGATATAAGTTTTATATAAACTTTTGTTTAAATATATTTTAGTAAAAGCATGTATCACTCTATTGTCTGGTAATGTTTAAGGCATGTAGTTTGCTGATAATGTATAATATTATCTTTATGCTTAAAAAAATTTGCTAGACTAAAATATATCAGTATATTTTGTAACATTCTTGAAATTTTCTTTGACAGGTTTTGTTTTAATATTGTAATAATATATACTATATAACGTTTTTATGTCTATGTCTAGGTTCTCTGCGCTTTTTTCCAGGAAACAATAAAATTTTTTTTAAATATTTAAGAGAAAAACAAGTTTATTTTACTGTATAAAGATTTGATAATAATTATGTATGTCATAGATATGAAAAAATATGAGTAATAATGAAATTCTACACTTGAGTATTAACTCTGATGGGAGTTGTTTTATTGTTGGAACAGACACTGGGTTTCGATGCTATAATATTGATCCATTGTGGCCATTGTTACACCAAGATCTTATAGATTGTGGTGGAGTGACAATAGCTCGAATGTTAAAACGAACAAATTTAATAGCCATTGTTGGAAATGGAAGGCATATGAAATATCCAAAGAACAAAGTTTATATTTGGGATGCTGTCCAGAAAATAAATGTTTTTGAATATATATTCAGTACTCCTGTTTTAAATGTTAAACTGCGAAATGATATGATCTTGGTTACATTACATAACAAAGTCTATGCATATAGTTTTCCTAACTCATCTGATATGCTGTTTTGTTACAACACCCGAGATAACCCAACTGGAATATGTGAAGTATCAAATTCCTTAGAAAATCAATGGTGTGTTGTTCCCGGAACAAACTGTGGTAGTATTCGACTTGTTAATTTAAATGTAAAGCAGATTGGTGTTTCCTCAACACCATGCATAATTAATGCTCATCAACACAAAATAGCATGTGTAGCAATAAATCAGCATGGAACACTTGTAGCGACTGCTTCAGAAACAGGCACCCTTATTAGAGTATTTGACATAAAATCTAAAATACAAACAATTGAGTTACGAAGAGGCACTGATCCTGCAACTCTTTATTGCATCAGTTTTAGCTCTGACTCGTCTTATTTATGTGCATCAAGTGATAAAGGAACTGTTCATATATTTGCTTTAAAAGATCCTACAAAAAACAAAAGGTCGACATTCTCAAAAGTGGGATTATTTGGAAATTATACTGAGTCACAATGGGGACTTGCTAATTTTTCTGTTCAGGCTGAGTGCCCTTGTTTGTGTTTATTCGGCACTGGGACAAGTGTTATAGCAATAAGCTATAATGGTTCTTTTCATCGGTATGTGTTTACCAAGGAAGGTAACTGTAATCGAGAGTCTTATGATTTATTTTTAGAACTTGGAGAAGATAGAGACTTGTAGTTTTCTAATATTGTTTGCCTGTAAATACTTATTTTAATTTTGGTTACAAAAAATAAAGGTTTTTAATTTTTTTGAAATATTAAAAATAAATATTTAATTTATGTTTTTTGTAAAAAAATCTTTATATTTATGTTATTGCCGTTTTTGTTACTATTATGTTATTTTTATGATTACTATTATTATTTCATAATGTTATCTTTAAATCTTAATTAAATTTAAAATGTATTTTAATAAAGGTTATTGAAATTTTTTCTTTTTAAATAGACTTTTCTATATTTTCATCAAATTTTTGCTGTTGTTTTTTTCTTGTTGTTCCGTAGATTTTACTGATGAGTAGATTAAAGAAAATAAAAAAGAAACTTCATCGCTATATTTCTAGTGGCCGTATTAAGGCGATAAACAAGCTTTTCAGAGATAACTGTGATGTCGCAGAACATCTTCGATCAGAAATTAATTTTCCATACAAAAAAAATAAGTGGTATTTACATAAATATTGCGCTAAAGGTGAATCTTCCATGGTTCGTGTTTTATATAATGCTGGTGCTGATTTGAGTATTTGCAATAAAGATGGCAGCAACTCTTTGCACATTGCATTGAACTATGCCATTGACAATTTTGATCAAGATTTTTTCTATGACATTGTAACTGAGTTGTTTAACAATGCAAGTGAAGAATTACGTACAAAGAAGAATAGATACGGCGAAACAGCTAATGAGTTGTTTGATGAGATTGTTGATTTGCTTATCAGTAAACAAAGTCGTACTTTAATAGAATCTGATGACGAAGATGTTGAAGATTGTGACTGGAATGGAAAATTGTTCTTTGAATTAGGTGAAGAGAATTTTGTAAATGAAGCATACACTGACCTGGAATATGCAGATACTTATCAAAAGGAGAAAGCAGAAAGTTTTTCAGAATGGGGTGATCGCATAAGAAAGGAGTACAACATAAAAAATAAAAATGAAAAAGTAAAAACTTTACCGAGTGTAAAAAGAAAGAAAGTTGAATCGTCTAACCTTACTTTTGTATTGAAAAAGAAATTAAATATATTTAATCTACGCGAAACATACGAAGAAAAATGTAATCGTATATTCGGAAAAGAAGACAACAGTGAACTTGATTTTAAAAAAGTTCCATGGCCTATCAGAAATTCAGAATTGGTATATCAAAATTTTAATTCACACGCAGACGAAATGATAGAAAATTTAACATACGGTTTCACATCCGAAGATAAAATTAAGTATTTAAAAAAGCAACAAATTCGATGGCATCCTGACAGATTCTTACAAAAGTGTGGCCATAGACTTAATGTCACTGATAAAGACAATATACTTAAATGCGTTCAACACTTGTCTCAAAAAATTAATGCAGTTGTCAATTGTTCGAAGCATTAAAGAAAATTGTAAATAAATGTTCATATTTTTTTTGTTTTGATTTAAAGTATTTTTTCCTCGTAAACCATTTTTTTCAGTGACAGAACCTTTTTTTTTTTTTTTACATAAGTTATCGCTGTTAGAGTAATCTTTAACATACTAATAAAACAAAATGAACCTTATTCTATTCGTTTACAAAAAAAGGGTTTCAAACCTACCTTAAATCTTTAACAAGCAAATTGAAATAAAAAGAGATTCCGTTATAAAATATTTAGAATTAGAAAACATATATTTAAAAACAAAATATATAAAAAACAAGATTTTTATAAAAAGACATTACAACAGTTTAAAACAACTTTTTCATTGGCTTTTACATAGTTATTTAAGTTAAGATGATCCAGTTACCTGGAGAAATACAAAAAATTTTTATCTAATTATCTCTTAGTGTTGGGTATTATGATCATATAAAATTTGTTATTCACTTACTTAAAGGGATTAGAAAAACTTAGTTTGACACTTTTCAAAACATTTTAAAATGTATGGTTTTAATCTGCAATGTCGTTTGGTACAGTTATCCCTCAATATTTGTTAAGGATCACCTTCAAAAAGGGATCAGTTTCACTTTCCTTTGTAAATTTTGCTTGTTAAATCAATTTGAATGCGTGAATAGTTATTGTTACAAAAAAAGAAGAAAACCGCAAAAATATTACGCTTTCTTTCATAGCAAAACAATAAAAATATTACGCTTTCTTTCACAACAAAACAATAAAAATATTATGCTTTCTTTCATAGCAAAACAAGAATATTACGCTTTCTTTCTTAGCAAAACAATAAGAATACAAATTTTTAATTTCGTGTTATTATGCTTGATTTGTTTGCCATTTTTTGGTTCTAGAAAGTAAAAAAAGCCTTTAGGGAAGAGTTACACTTTGGACCAACTGTCTAAAGCAGTTAAAATTACTAGAGGCATGTATACACCGTCAAAACAAGTTGTAGAAATTTCCGATAAGAGCTGGTAAGCCTCTAAAACATTTTATAAATGTTTGTCTACCAGCCTTGTCAATTAGCTAGACAAAAACAATGTTATAAAACCCGTCATAATTTTTATTGATGATCATAAAAACAATGTAAACATCCCTAACGATTGAAAGCTAAAGGGTTTAATTCTCATCTCTCTCGTTCTAAACGCAACCAGGACCCTTGACCCCTTGGATCACGCAATAAACAAATTTGGTACTAAGTTTTGGAGAGTTTAGGAATTCGGACCTACAAGCAAGAATAGGCAAAGAAACGTCTCTAGTTTCTAAAACAAAGGTTCAATGTTCTTAGGAAACCATTTTGCGGTAAATTGCAGTTGCTAGAGTCAAAATTAACCTCACAGCAATTTGGTATGGACAAAGGTGAGTGACTACTGTATACTTAGCCCATGGAGTTCAAAAAATTTTATATCAGGAAAGAATGTAATGATAAATCAACACAGTGTGACAAAGTAATTCAGCAAAAATGTTTGGAAACAGTTTTAACTCACTCTCATGCTTATCATTTAATTAAAAAAAGTTTTTTTAATTAAATGATAAGCATGAGAGTGAGTTAACGGAAATAAGATTTTGCTTTGTTTGAAAACGAAATAATTATATATATATATATATATATATATATATATATATATATATATATATATATATATATATATATATATATATATATATATATATATATATATATATATATCCTAATTTTATACAAACTTTCATCTTAATTTTATATAATCTATAAAGTGTTAAATTATCTGTTGTTTTTTCTGTGTTCTTCTTCAATTAACTCTTTTTTAAAATTTAGCGCAACAGTTTTTAATTGCACTCACGCGAGAATTTCCCTTGGAAAATAATGTCCAATTGGACAACTACTTCAATTGGACAACAATTTCAACACTATAATTTCCTTTAGGGAATTGTAGTGTTGAAACACTGTTCTCAAAATAATAACTGGATAGCGTATTCTATTGTTTTTCGCAAAAAAAAGTTGAAGCCAATTTTGGCCTATCAAGATGGCTTCGGTTAGAGCTGTTAGCGATTTGAATCGTACAAAAATTTTGCCCAAATAAAAAAAGTAAACTATTTTTAAAGAAAATAAGACAGCGCAATAAGTTTATTTGATTCCTAATTATTAAAATATTAAGCTAGTATACACTTTTTAAATGCAGTTTATAATTTATGTACCTTTTAGTTCTTAATTACCCAATGCTGTGTGCTAGAAGGTTAATAACACAACTGTACGGTAAGCAGCAATGGTTTCTACCTACAATCTTAAAAGAATTTTACAATTATGAGTTTTGTAGGTAAAAATAATATTAATGCTACATTAAGCACAAATGCTTTATGTGCTTATTTACTCAATATTACATTAAAAAACTTCTTTAACATAGTTATATTACAACCATTGATCTCAAAATAATAACATTTTAAGATCGGTGTGTATTACAGCACTATTACAAGATTACAGCAAGATTACAGCACTATTACAAGATTACAGCAAGATTAGCACTTTTAAATCTTCTGGTGTTTATATTATACTTTTACTATGCCAAGTTAGATCCAGTCCATTTTTTGATGAAAAAATGGAACTGGATCTAAAAACAGTGATCGCAATTCAAAAGAAAAGTTTTCATTTCACAGGTGGGTGAAATTTATTACATTTTGTTAAAAATAAAATCTATAAGGATGGTTTGGTTAGACAAAGAAAAAGTGTTGTATCAGTATGCAAAGAACCTGAAAGATGTTTCAAAAGATTGCTTACATCAACAGATAGTAACCTGCGTAATGATATAGGAGTGAAAAATGCAATTGCAAGTGTTGTTTTGAAATCAGTTGATTTACCAAAAGTATTTACAGAACTAACTCATTATATGTTTGATTCGGCTATAACTGAAAATCATTTATTTTCACTGATTAAAGTTATTTCAGGAAGTTACACATAAATACACTTTCATCTCCTAGGCAAAGAAGTAACTGGAAAAAAGTTTAGAAAGCAGTTGAATAAACTTGTTTTATTCAAAAATTAATGAAAACATTTATTTTTATTATACCATGTATATACAGTAAACTCCTGATAAATAAAACCTTTAAAAATTGAACTTCCAGTATTTGCTCGAACACTTTAAGGTTACAAAGTTATATATGTATGCATATAATATACATAGATACATATACATATGTATATGTATATATGTATATGTATATATACATATATATACATATATATATATATATATATATATATATATATATATATATATATATATATATATATATATATATATATATATATATATATATATACATATATATATATATATATATATATATATATATATATATATATATATATATATACATATATATATATATATATATATATATATATATATATATATATACATATATATATGTATATGTATATGTATGCATTTCTGATGAGTCTTTATTGATGAAACACAGTGTTAAATGGAAAAAATTTTGCTAAGTGATTTTCTACTAATTTGTAATTACTCAGTTCTTTTAAGAACATTGAGCACTCTTTTTGTAGAATACGTTTTAAATTGTTTAAATATATATGTATATATATATATATATATATATATATATATATATATATATATATATATATATATATATATATATATATATATATATATATATATATATATATATATATATATATATATATATATATATATGCAGTGCTCGAAGTGAGACGGGATGAGGTGGGATGCCATCCCGTCACCTTTTTATAAATTATTTATACAAATCTTTATATATAACACCTTTATATAATTCTTTATATATAACAATGATAAGGCGGGATAGTATTTTTAATTTACTTGTCATTAAAAAAGAACTATTTTTACATCCAATCATAGACGGACTGGTTGTAAAGAATCGAAAACTCTGTTCTTACGCATCCCATTCTACTGCTTTCTACACTGAACTTTACAGATAGCAAGAAATCAAAATGGATACAAAAGTCAGACTTGGCTTAAAAAGCGATGTCACAAGATGGAACTCTACCTAATAAATGCTTGAGCAAACTTTACACCTGAAGTTAGCCATTGTTGCCACCTTAATCAAATTTCCTTCAGTGGAAATTTAATTTTCTGTCCTAGATTGGAGCCTCTGTGAAAAAGTGGTGAACATTTTAAGTGTTTTTGAGGAGACAACAAAAATGTTGTCAGGTGTTGACTCTTGCATAATTTTTTTGTATTCCAATTGTGACAACAATAATTAAAGCTTTGGAGACAACCTCTAGCAATATCAGTGTTCAGGAGTTGAATTTTTTTTTAACTTACTCTTTTAATAAAGGGTTGGCTTTGTTTGATTCCACTCCATGTAATTGTGAAAGATTCATCCGATGTAAGACATTCCGCCTACTTTTGCTTGATTCTTGGCCCATTGGGTGACTTTAGCATTCCTGTCAATCTAAACCCTCAAATTGAGGGGGGTTCGAACTTTATATGGTCGTTATTTTGAACGCTGAAATATTGTTCTATGAAATTCAAAATTTATTGATGAATATAAGTCTAGTTAAGAATAGTACAAAAAATATTTTACCAGCTTGTTGCTCCATGATATCATTTTAGACTACCATTCAAACAAATACTCTTGCATATAACAAATACACTTGAATATAAAAAAAAATTACCAGCAAGTCTGCATTAATTTGGAGCAGAAAGAGATTAACGGAAAACTTGAAAAACTGTAACTTGTACGTGTTTGAAAAAAATACAAAAAGGAGGGAATTCTAAAGCAACAATGTTCGTTAAAATAAGATAGATAAAGGATTTTTGAGCATGAAAGAACAGTTACATTACAAAAAATGCAATTTTACTAAATGCCAGATCACGCAAGATCGTGTTTTAGAGGATGGAACCAAATTCCATCTATGAAGCGAAAGTATTAATAGCTCTTTTGAGCAGCGTCATGGTAGTATTAATAAAAAAGAGTAATAGATTCAACTCTACAACTATGGAAAAGTTGTATAACATTTATTTTATTATTTTTTTGG